ACATTTATAATTTGTTACCAACCTCTTTCCTTTGCTATCTAACAAATAAGGCTTAATGTTGTATTATGTATGTGCATATGTATAGAAACAGCATATTCCAATACACAGTGAAAATGTCTAGAAATTTCCCAAAATTTGGTCCAAAGTAGAATTTATTATCGTGATACCTTTTCTGAAAACCATTAACAATTATCTATCTATAGGTCAAATAAAAATCATATGTATTTCACCTCATTTTTTCATAAAACTTAATTGAAAAGTTCGAGAGTTAAATATTTGTTGGAAAACACTACAATAATTTCTGGACCTATGGGCGGTACAGATGTGAAAATACGGATCGTCAAACAGAAAATGGCCTATAAAACATTAAAAAAACATCTTCATGCTCATATAAACTCACTTTGAAGGCTATATTATTCTTCAGCTATCTTAAAATCAATTTTATTGCACAATAACTTTCATATTTGAAAAATTCACAGGGGCCAAAATACGAAACCAAAATCCTTACTGTGTATTGCTACATTAACATGATTATTAGTGGTGTCTTCCTCCTATTCCCACTTTTTAAAAATCACTATTCCTTCTATTCCCACATGCAAATAACAATAGATGTTGGGATAATTAATTTGTTTTTATAACAATCAGGGTTAATTAAAAATTCACCTAAGATTTACCTGTATTTTTTAAAAAGAAAACATATTTCTTACACTGTTTAAGTATAATATTATTTAAAAAAAAATTAATACGTTGTCTATTTGTAATATGTTTTATGGTACATTTTACTCCTGTCCGAACCTATTCTTCCAACTTTACACATTTCACGACGCAATGGTTGATGGCGCAATGTAGCCAAGAGCGAACTAGTGTACACAAGGATCCTGACTTTACTCAAAGATGTATGCCACCAACACCAACTACAACTTCAGTCTACCACTATCTTCCTGGACTATGAAGTCGCCATCAGAAATGCAGCTTATTCTGTATATCCTGGCATCAACGCAAAAGGCTATTTTTTCCACTACACACAATGCATCTGGAGAAGAGCACAAGAAAAAAGGTCTTCAGGTTCCATACAAGGAAGACAACAACATTCATCAACTAGTACACCGTGCCGCTGTCCTTCCACTTGTACCTAATGCTGAGGTTGAAGATGTGTGGTTCAATGCCCTAATAGACATAGATCAGATTGATACTAACATCAACTACATGTCCTTTACAGACTATGTAACAACATACTGGGACAAACAGAACAGTACCCTGTGGAACCATTACACAACACAGGGACCGAGGACTACAAATCATAAAGAGGGATGGCACAGCAAGCTGAAAAAACATTTCCAGCACCCACATCCAAACATCTTTAAACTAAAAAAACTACTGAAACATGAGGAAGCTTTCAACGCCCTGACCATGATCCAGTATGCAGCCGGTGGGAAGAGTCAGTGGTCCAAAAACGAAAGTATGTCGAAATCAACAACAGATTAGAAGAGCTTAAGTTAGACACCGCAACCAGGAAGTCACAACAGTACAGTTTGGTGATGCAGACTCCCACCTTTTTCACGTTGAATAGATTAATAAACTTTAACAGACTTATATACATTGAATTTCTAATGTGTGTGCTACAATGTGTGTGAATTGTTTTAGTGCTGTTGTATTGTTTGTTTCATATTTGAATGCTTGCTTGAATCTACTGTTGAATTTGTGTTATAAAAGAAATAAAATAATTTACTTATATTTGTTTCCATTTCTTTCATATTTATTTTGATTAAAAACAGAGAATGCATACACATACAAAAATAACCTAATTACCTGTCCTAAAAAACACTTGTCAATTAAAAGTTGATTAAACAATGTTTATACAGTATAATCCTTTGTCTGCACAAGTTTTCCCCCTATTCCCACATGAAATTTTACTTTTTTACCAGATTTATAAAAAGTGGGAATAGAGGAATGAACCGTTTCCAGAAACGGAGATAATTTTTCCCGCAATTCGCGGGGGGGGGGACTCCATATCTGTATTGCCCATTATACTGTATTCTTTATATTTTCGCACCTCATGCTTCTCTATTCTTTATTTTTTGGTCCATTTTGCTATATTTTTTTATATTGTTTTGCCAATTATTCTCTATTCAGTAAACCTCCATCCACACCATCAAATATGATCATTTTGGGATTTGTATTTCATTGTTCATCACTTTTAATGTGGGATATAACTTTATGAAATCCACGTTAGAGAACTATTATATGATCTGAGAATCTAACGGATACATATGTCAAACGTTGTGTTTCCTAATTTTCAAATTTACCCGCGTCTTTAACATTTTAAATATCTAAACAAACAGGTCATATGATTTATGTCGGCAGACGCAAACTTTTACTAACGATAGAAACGAAAGTTGGGAAAGATAGTATCGCAAGTTTTCCTGTTGCTGTTGTAGTTTATATTCACAGGTAAATAACAGTAATGATGTAACAGCAACCTTAGTGTAAATAAGTTCTGAACTTTAATAAACAAAGTGAAACCTTAAATGTAACAAGCTTCCTTGTTGATTTTTCAGCTCCATAACACGATCGGCCAAGGTAACATCTTTGTCTTGATACGGTTATAATTTGACGTGTCGAAATAGAATTTGGTATTTGATGATATGTTGAAATTGTCTGCTAAAGCCGATGAAAATACTGAAAATGGCGACCGAGTTAAATTATTTTCTTAAAAGATCATAATAGAAACCAACAGAACTGTTATTCTAATTAGAACTTGCTATATAATATAAAAGATTGAGCAGTAGGGTCCCTTTTAAACCGGGAGTGCGGTAGGGTTTGTGGCGTTTCGGGATGGTTAATAGTAACCCCATTAAAATGGCATCCTCGTGATAACATAGCAAGTAAATATTCTATTATGAGTCGCTTTCTATGAGGCGCTGTTTTACTATTTATTCCTTATTTTCTGATATCAAAATATATTTTTTGATATCAAAAAAATTAATTCCTGTTATCAAAACTTGATTTTTTGATATCAGAAAATATTTTCTATATTAAATTTTTTTTCCTGATATCAAGAATTCATTTTTTTATATAAAAAATTCCCTTTTTGATATCAAGAATTCGATTTTCTGATATTAAATAATACTGACTTTTTTTTTATATTAAAAATAGATTTTCTGATAACAAATAATACTGACGATTTTTTGATATCAGAAAATAATAAAAAAAATAATGATGGCTCCCTGTGCATCAATAAAAGCATACGAGCTCATCAATGAGCCGTAACATTAGGTCTGGTGTTTCGGTCGTTTTTTTGGGAAAAAATATCTCAGAGTTCGGCTTCAATAAGTCAAAAGAAGTTTTTTGTTTTTGTGTTTCACATATTAATTATTTTATGGTTTATAGTCAATAATTCTGGCAAGTTCCAGTTTCTTTCATAGGCAATTATTGGTTTCCTCTGAAACAGATTTATGCAGCCAGGATTTTGTGAAATCAAGCCCTAGTGTTTTGGTAATCTTGTTTTTAGTGGGGTTTTTCCCGTTGTTTATGTTGCGGATTCAGTAAGTTAGTTAGTTCTATTTAATTTAAAAATTAAGAGATGTGGTACGATTGCAAATGAGATAACTATCTACCAAAGTTCAAATGAAGTAGATTTAAGCAATTATAGGCAACCGTACGGCTGTCATTTATTTTTCAAATTCCGTAATAAGTTAGATCGAGGTAATTCATTACTCGATCAGTGTCGTCAAACTGAAGATAAGTGTACATGTTTTTTTGCTTCAAACGTTATTAAATAGCAGTTTTCCGGAGACTTAACGTCTAAATAATGTTTATAAAACTTTAAGTTTCCTTGATATAAGTTATTAGTTTTTGTAACGAGGGACCCCATGTCATCAATATAATTACCAATATCGTGTAGCGAAACTCTACATTATAAAACAATTGGTCTACCGGGAACATTATTTGCATATAATTCCTGATGTTTCGGCTCATGAATGAGCTTGTATGATTTTATTGACACACCGGGAGCCACCATTCATTTCTTTCATATTTTCTGATATCAAAAAATGGTTTTCTTGATATCAGGAATTCGAAATTTTGCTTCATAGCTTTCAGGGGTGTCATAATCGAAGAAATGCGGACAGCTTTGTGCATGACTACGACACACTGCTACGATTATTTGAGCTAGTTATTTGTTTCTCAAGTATAGAAACGTTTAATATTTTTCGGGTTGTTTTCCCTTACAACAAATAATATTTACTTCAGCTTGTAACGTGTAATAAGAAAACCATTTCACCGTTTTCATCGTTCTGGAAAGATGCCCGAGGCCTTTATGACATAGGTAGTTAGGTTGAGCAGTTACCTGAATTTTATTTTGTAAAGTTATAAGCAGTTGTAAACAACAATCAGAAGGAAAGGTTAAATATTATTTAGATAAATCTTGCTCTGTGTTTGTTCCCTCATACATCGATAAAAAAAATAAGGGTAAACGTCAATGTCAGTGCAACCGAAAAACACAAAAAACGAATGAAAATCTAGAGACCAACATAGCTTTTCAAAAATAAATGATTGTCTACACAACATGTTAAGCTTAATACCAACACGAATCCAGAAAAAAATATGAATAAAAAAAAAAAGAAGAAAAGATTAAAAAACATATCTACAGCTAGTACAAAAACCGATGAAACAAGAACAATAGAAAAGTAAAAGTAACTCGATCTTCTTATAAATCAGTCGACAAATTCAATAGTAAAACAATATCGGTGACGATACTGATTAAATGTTATATCAAAACAACAATCGTATATTTAAAAAAAGAATTTGTTAAACTATGTTATTAGATATAAATGCAAATACATAATGTTTTCTTTTCATTATTTATCGAGATAAAGCATTAAAAGATTGTGAAACTGCAATTCAAAAAGGTAAAGGGGCATTAGCTGTCAAATTTATGTTCACCGATTTGACTCAAATTCTCGTATTTGATTCATAACATACTACATTTTTTTTCCAAATTATAAAAAGTATAAAATAATCAATTTACAATGCATGGGCTCGATAATTGTATCAGCATTTCGTGTGTATTTTAGTATAGACGCCATCTAATTAACCATCGAGGTGACCTCCGAAGACTACCAACGATCATCCAACCCATATAAATAGATAGCGAACTCGTGCAATTGGATTTTTCTAGGTCTGTTTGATTTCATATTATAGGTTAAATATATGTTAATCATCGTTTTTACCTGTATAGGAATGAGGTATTGTTGATCGAATCAGGCAAACAAATGGTTTACCCTTGTTTCCCTTTCAATGTTGACATTCTGTTCCTTTTGACAATTGAAAACGTCTAATTTATACGTAACCCATCTATAGCTAAGGGGTTAAATTGAAAGTCACATGAATACGGACTCAATAAGGTCAAATTATTCACTTGCAAGTGAATAATTCATCAGCGATGTTTCTTGGCTTATGTTGACAAAATTGAACCAAACTGACTGCTAAAAGCGAATTTTTATTTCATTTATCACTTTCATTAAACATTTAATAAAACAAATCATATTTTATATTTTTTATATATCATAGCTAATACCCCTTTAAACTTAAAAAAAAATCAAATGAGTTTAAGCAAACATAGATAACCGTACGGCCTTCAACAATGAGAAAAAACCCTTTTCCGGATAGACGGCTATGAAAGACCCCGACATGAAAAATATGTAACAATTCAATTGAGAAAACATATTTCTAACAAAACAATTTACAATAAACAAATAAGACAGACATTAACCAACAACAATCACTGAACTACATGCTTCTCACTTGGGACAGGCACATAAATAATGTGGCGGGGTTAAACATGTTTGTGAACGATCAACCCTCCCCTAACCTTGGACATCAAAACATAAGACAATACTATACAAATCAGTTGAAAATGATCTAGCTCATCAGATCGATACAAAGCAGAAAAAACATCGAACAAAAACACAGACTAGACGTGGCAGTGTATTTATACATCGCTATCAACAAAAAGACACACAAAGTACAGATCTGATCGTACTGGCAGTTACTGACAGCTAATTCATAGCAAATAATAACTAATAAAAAAAATAATGTATCTAAAACTAAAATATCAATCAGTACACATCCAAAATCCAATGGATTCCGTGTAAAGACGTCATAAACAGTCAGAGAAAAACACGATCTTGTGCAATGCCAAAATATAGGTAATAACAGATTGTAGTACCGTAAAAGTGCATATGTGTATAACAATAGTATTTAGTATGGTTTTAATTCACTTATAATAAAATCAATATTTATACCAATAAAACAATATTCAAATACCTATTTACAGTGTTAAATTGGTAACCTTTTAGTATAAGTATGTCTATTTCAAGAAGTGTTTGTCGAATGGGAAGTTACTAGATGGATGTGGCTATGATTTTAAGGTCCATGTTGGTCATATTGCTGTTGGCGTGTTTCGGTACATATAAGACATAATTGACAAATATTTGACTCTAAGTGTTCTTGGTGTAGGTAAAACCAGAAAAGTACTTCGGACACATACCATTTATTAAGTGTTATTTCCGTTTCTATCATAAATCTGCACCCTTAAACCACAAATCAATTTTAAATTGACAGCTGGAGAACTCTCTGGTCACTCTTGCTTCCTCAACTAATGAAAACTGGCTGCCAAGAAATAGCTTACAGCCAATTATCTGCAAACAATCAATTAAAGTCAAAATTTACCTCAATGAATTCTAGATCTTTTAATTAACTTAACGTATTATATATTTGATCAGGAAAAAAATATGGCATCTAAACTGAACATATCGTGTGGTTCATGTGGATATGAGGACATCTCAAAAAATGCAAAGAAATGGTGTACCATATGTGAAGAGGGATTTTGTGGAGAATGTGAAAAATACCACAGATCTATGAAAGTTTCGAGAGATCACATTATGATTTCTATTGATGACTATCGTCAAATAGAAGACATTCCAGTAAATCTGAACTGTGAGATGCATGGTAAAAAGCTCGATCTTTACTGTAAGAAGCACGATATTGCAGTATGCGTAGTCTGTATTCCGTCTGATCATAAATCTTGCGCCTCTTCTGATGTCATCTCCATTGATGAAGCATCAAAAAACGCTAAACAATCAAGTGCACTCTTAGACTTAGAAGGGACTATATCAATAACTTTGGATAACTTCAAGCAGTGTATAAACGATCGAGAAGGAGCCTTGAAAAATGTGGACAAAGATGAACAAACAATACATAAAACGATTACAGACACACGGAAGAATCTCAATAAATACTTGGATGAACTCGAAAGAAAACTGCTGCTAGATTTGAAATCCAAACATGAAAACTGTAAATCTAAAATCATGAAAATTCTTAATCAATTGAAGCAAATGGAGAAAGAGGTAGAAAACCTGAAAGAGCAGACACTTCAAATGAAACATTTTGCATCTGACTTACAAGTGTTTGTTGGAACGCGTCAATCAAACCAATCAGTTAGTAAACAGGTTGAATCGCTCAAAGAAGAAATAAGAGTTTGCACGAAAAGCAGAATGGAAATAGAGATACATCACATGATCTGTTCCTTGATGAAGGAGGTAAAACAGTTTGGAGAAATCAAAGTTATTGAAACTATGACCAACCTACAATTAAAAGATGCAAAGATCGACCAGGCTCAGATACAGATACACGAATTTTCACAAAATATTCATAATGTCGATATGCAGCTGAAACAGATGTTTGATATTAAAGGATCAGAAGAACCAATCACTGGCTGCATTGTATTACCGGACGACCGAATTATAATTGCAGACTATTACGGATGTGGTAAATTACTGGAATACAATACTAATGGAAAACATATTCGTGACATTCCCGTCTCTAATAAACCGTACAGTCTTACATCAGTAGACACCGATTGTATTGCTGTTACATATAGAGATTCTAAATACCTAGAGATTATTAACACTAAAAATACTAGTGAAAGGAAGAAGGTGCAATGTAGTAGTATCTGCTGGGGAATATCTTACCAGGACCAGAAGCTGTATGTTCTTGTATTTGAACAAGGCATAGTGGTAATGGACTTGCATGGAAAGACATTAAATACAATCGATATCAATGTTTCACAGGTGTGTCATATTACAACGACCAGTGAAAGGATATACTATACAGACCAGAACAGTAATACAGTACACTGCTGTAGTATGACAGGACAAGAAATCTGGGTATTCAAGGATCAGTCTATTTCCAAACCGAGAGGTATATCAGTTGACAGTAATCAGGATGTATTTGTTGTAGGAGGATGGTCTAACAACCTGACAGTAATACAACATGACGGGAAAGATAGTAAGGTCTTACTTACTGATCGTGATGGACTTAATAATCCGATAGCAGTGAATTACAACAACAAAAAGAAGATTGTCTGTTTATGCTACAAGAAAAGAAGCGTTGCATTGTATCAAGTGTCGTAAAAATAAACCTGAACAGCATAATGAAGTACTTACTATTTGTAATGAATTGCCTGACATTGAATTTTTATTACATTTTAACATTCTTTAAAAAGACGAACACATCACGTGGGACATATGTGTCATTGGTTTGAACATCAAATTCGAAAGAATTACTTTTGCTTGAAACACTTAGTTATCGCATAAAAACGCATTACAATACTGTTATATAATTAAGTGCTTTTTGTTTAGTACTAATATATATCCGTTAGCTTTTCAGATTAAATTTAACACATTTGATAAAGGTTGGATATCTATTTGAATAAATAGATGAAATTTACAAACACGATGCATATGACGAAATTGAATAGGGTACAATCTCTCTCTGTAAGACATCTGGTCGCCATAATATAAATACATAACGTAGTGGGTATAACCTTTACGATTTGTTATATTATGCTTTTAAGATTTTGTTCATACTATAACCTTCATGATTATGTTATATCCATTTATTATATATTCGTACATATTCAGTGTACGGAAAATTGCACAGGAATATCAACTTTGAAACAGTGATTTATCAAACCAACGATCAAAGTCGGTACTGATCATAAAGTTCCTCACGTATTCAATACAGAAATAAGGAGATGTGTTAGGATGCAAATGAGACAATTTTCAGCTAGAAAACAAAGGACGAGGATGTTAACAACTATAGGTCATCGTACGGCAATCAACAATGAACAAAACCGTATAGTATAAATATATAATGACCACGGCATGAAAAAAACGTGAAACGATAAAAATAAACCAACGGCCTGATCTATGGTAAAAACAATGAATGAAAAAAAATATTGCAAACTGCAACCAACATCACCCACTGAATTTCAAGCTATACGTTTTCGGATTTGAGCATTCCCGATCAAGGTAAGTTAAGAAATGTGATTCGGACGCCCAAAATTTATAAAGTGTTAGTTTCTAGTCGTTATACCAACAACAGAAATAATTGTATAACTCCTATTATATTTATGAAATATAATAGCATCTTCAGCGTGAAGTATGATAGCACGTTGATGATGTCATAACTTACGGACGCCATCAAGAGTTGGTTGACCGTTATGGAATAACCGTTTCACAGATGATATCGGATATATGTTCCTCATGTCGTAACTACAATACCCTTCCCTTTTCACGAATGTGACTTACCGAATTATACTATTTACCGGATTTGTAATAACATAAGCAACACGACGGGTGCCACATGTGGAGCAGGATCTGCTTACCCTTCCGGAGCACCTGAGATCACCCCTCTTTTTGGTGGGGTTCGTGTTCCTTAGTCTTTAGTTTTCTATGTTGTGTCATCTGTACTATTATTTGTCTGTTTGTCTTTTTATTTTTGGCCATGGCGTTGTCAGTTTGTTTTCGATCTATGAGTTTGACTGTCCCTCTGGTATCTTTCGTCCCTCGAGGTAGCGGGGCAAAGGCTTATATTTTCCCAATGACACCAAACAAATAAGGGTAAACGTCAATGCCAGTGCAACCGAAAAACACAAAAAACGAAAGAAAATCTAGAGACCAACATAGCTTTTCAAAAATAAATGATTGTCTACACAACATGTTAAGCTTAATACCAACACGAATCCAGAAAAAATATGAATAAAAAAAAATAAGAAAAGATTAAAAAACATATCTACAGCGAGTAGCAAAACCGATGAAACAAGAACATTAGAAAAGTAAAAGTAACTCGATCTTCTTATAAATAAGTCGACAATAGTAAAACAATATCGGTGACGATACTGATTAAATGTTATATCAAAACAACAATCGTATATTCAAAAACGAATCTGTTAAACATGTTATTAGATATAAATGCAAATACATAATGTTTCTTTTCATTATTTATCGAGATTAAGCATTAAAAGATTGTGAAAAAGGTAAAGGGGCATTAGCTGTCAAATTCATGTTCACCGATTTGACTCAAATTCTCGTATTTGATTCATAACATACTAAATTTTTTTCCAAATTATAAAAAGTATAAAATAATCAATTTACAATGCATGGGCTCGATAATTGTATCAGCATTTCGTGTGTATTTTAGTATAGACGCCATCTAAATAACCATCGAGGTGACCTACGAAGACTACCAACGATCATCCAACCCATATAAATAGATAGCGAACTCGTGCAATTGGATTTTTCTGGGTCTGTTTGATTTCATATTATAGGTTAAATATATGTTAATCATCGTTTTTACCTGTATAGGAATGAGGTTTTGTTGATCGAATCAGGTAAACAAATGGTTCATCCTTGTTTCACTTTCAATGTTGACATTCTTTTCCTTTTGACAATTGAACACGTCTAATTCATACGTAATCCATCTATAGCTAAGGGTTAAATTGAAAGTCACATGAATACGGACTCAATAAGGTCAAATTATTCACTTGCAAGTGAATAATTCATCAGCGATGTTTCTTGGCTTATTTTGACAAAATTGAACCAAACTGACTGCTAAAAGCGAATTTTTATTTCATTATTTCACTTTCATTAAAAATTTAATAAAACTAATCATATTTTATATTTTTTATATATCATAGCTAATGCCCCTTTAAACTTAAAAAAAATTCAAATGAGTTTAAGCAAACATTGATAACCGTACGGCCTTCAACAATGAGAAAAACCCTTTCCGGATAGACGGCTATGGAAGACCCCGACATGAAAAATATGCAACAATTCAATTGAGAAAACTTATTTCTAACAAAACAATTTACAATAAACAAATAAGACAGAAATTAACCAACAACAACCACTGAACTACACGCTTCTGACTTGGGACAGGCACATAAATAATGTGGCGGGGTTAAACATGTTTGTGAACGCTCAATCCTCCCCTAACCTTGGACCTCAAAACATAAGACAATACTATACAAATCAGTTGAAAAGGATCCAGGTCATCAGATCGATAAAAAGCAGAAAAAAACATCGAACAAAAACACAGACTAGACGTGGCAGTGTATTTATACATCGCTAACAACAAAAAGACACACAAAGTACAGATCTTATCGTACTGGCAGTTACTGACAGCTAATTCATAGCCAATAATAACTAATAAAAAAAATCATGTATCTAAAACTAAAATATCAATCAGTACACATCCAAAATCCAATGGATTCCGTGTAAAGACGTCATAAACAGTGAGAGAAAAACATGATCTTGTGCAATGCCAAAATATAGGTAATAATTGTAGTACCGTAAAATTGCATATGTGTATAACAATAGTATTTAGTATGGTTTTAATTCACTTATAATAAAATCAATATTTATACCAATAAAACAATATTCAAATACCTATTTACAGTGTTAAATTGGTAACCTTTTAGTATAAGTATGTCTATTTCAAGAAGTGTTTGTCGAATGGGAAGTTACTAGATGGATGTGGCTATGATTTTAAGGTCCATTTTGGTCATATTGCTGTTGGCGTGTTTCGGTACATATAAGACATAATTGACTTTCAGATATTTGACTCTAAGTGTTCTTGGTGTAGGTAAAACCAGAAAAGTACTTCGGGCACATACCATTTATTAAGTGTTATTTCCGTTTCTATCATAAATCTACACCCTTAAACCACAAATAAATTTTAAATTGACAGCTGGGGAACTCTCTGGTCACTCTGGCTTCCTCAACCAATGATAACTGGCCGCCAAGAAATAGCTTAAAGCCCATTATCCGCCAACAATCTATAAAAGTCAAAATTTACCTCATTGAATTCTAGATCTTCTAATTTACTTAACGTATTATATATTTGATTAGGAAAACAATATGGCATCTACACTGAACATATTGTGTGGTTCTTGTGGATATGAGGACACCTCGAAAAATGCAAAGAAATGGTGTACCATATGTGAAGAGGGAATTTGTGGAGAATGTGAAAAATACCACAAATCTATGAAAGTTTCGAGAGATCACAAGATGATTTCTATTGAGAACTATCGTCAAATAGAAAACATTTCCTTGAATCTGAACTGTGAGATTCATGGTAAAAAGCTAGATCTATACTGTAAGAAACACGATATTGCGGTAAGTGTCGTCTGTATTCCTTTGGAACATAAATCCTGATCCTCTTCTGATGTCATCTCCATTGATGAAGCATCAAAAACGCAAAGCAATCAAGTGCACTCTTAGTCTTAGAAGGAACTATCTCAACAACTATAGACAACGTGAAGCACTGTATCAAAGAGCGAGAAATAACTTTGACAAATGTGGACCAAGATGAACAAACAATACATAAAACTATTACAGACACACGGAAGAATCTCAATAAATACATGGATGAACTGGAGAGTAAACTGCTGCTAGAACTGAAATCCAAACATGAAAACTGTAAATCTAAAATCATGAAAATTTGTAATCAATTGAAACAAGTGGAGAAAGAGGTAGAAAAACTGAAAGAACATGCACTTCAAATGAAACGTTTTGCAACTGACTTACAAGTGTTTCTTGGAACACGTCAATTTAACCATTCGGTTAGTAAATAGGTTGAATCGCTCAAAGAAGAAATAAGAGTTTGCACGAAAAGCAGAATGGAAATAGAGATTCATCACAATCACATCATCTGTTCCTTGATGAAGGAGGTAAAACATTTTGGAGAAATCAAAGTTATTGAAACCATGACCAATCTACAATCAAAAGATGCAAAGATCGACCAGGCTCAGATACAGATACACGGATTTTCGCAAAATTTTCAAAATGTCAATCTGAAGCTCAAACAGAAGTTTGATATCAAAGGATCAAAATCATCAATAAAGGGTTGCATTGTATTACCCGACGACAAAATTATAATTGCAGACGGTGAAATTCTTTGTGGAAAATTAATGGAATACCATTACAATGGAAAACACATACGTGACATTCATGTCTCTGATACACCGGATAGTCTTACATTAGTAGATACCGACTGTATTGCTGTTACATATGGAACGGCTGAATACCTGGAGATTATAAACACTAAAATTACTAGTGAAAGGAAGAGGGTGAAATGTAGTAGTTTCTGCTGGGGAATATCCTACCAGGACCAGAAGCTGTATGTTCTGAAATTTAAACAAGGAATAGTGGCAATGGACTTGAATGGGAAGACATTAAATACAATCGATATCGATGTTTCAGGGGTGTATAACATAACAACGACCAGTGAAAGGATATACTATGCAAAGACAAGACTGGACAGTAATACAGTACACTGTTGTAGTACGACTGGGCAAGAAATCTGGGTATTCAAAGATCAGTCTGTTTCCAATCCGAGTAGCATATCAGTGGACATTAATCAGAACGTATTTGTTGTTGGCAGATGGTCTAACAACTTGACAGTTATACAACATGACGGGAAAGATAGTAAGGTCCTACTTATTGATCGTGATGAACTTAAATCCCCATCTGCAGTGAGTTATAACAAAGAAAAGAAGATTGTCTGTTTAGGTTACAAGAACTGAAGCATCGCATTATACCA